TGAATATAATATATACAATTTTTCAAGGGCTATATGATTTATAATTGTTTTTAATTTTTATGTACTATAATTTGAATATAAATATTGAAATATTATATATGCTTAAAACCGGAAAAATCCACAGCCCGCACTCAGTAGACACTAGACAGTGTAGACAGGTAATAATAGATGCCATCGTCTGGAAGGTCTATCTTATTGTAGACGAGACACGAGTATAGGACTGTATAAGAAATTCGTGGTTTCAGAGAATACGTTTGGCCTTGCAAAATATAATAGGTACATGGACATGAACCATGATCTCATCACGATTTCTGGTGTATTGTCGTGTATTTATTATACATGCGTAGAACTATTCCACGCGTATAAACGTTGATTCAATCGTAATATGTTATTATTACGTTAGTAAATAATTTAGTATATTTTATAATCCTCAAATATATAATATATATGTGTGTGTGTGTCATATATTAACAATTTAGCATAGTCACTACTCACTTATATCAATAAGTGTGTAAATGTGTAATTAATGTAAGCAGATAAATATATTATAATGTATCTCGTTACTAACGATCATTTTTAGTGTACTTAGTGCCTTAGCCCTTAGTAGTATGGTATCTAATTATTATACTAATAAATAATAACCATCAATCTGTACTAATTATAATGTGAATGCCCTAATAATGCTTATATAGTTATAATCTAATACCTTGTGTCCTAGTTAATCAAAAATATCATAGTAAACTAGCTTAATTAATCAAATATTCAATAAAATATTATATATTTATATCTATAATAGTTAAATGATAATAGAAATATTATGTCAGATTAATTAAAACTTAAAAGTAATGTATAGACGTGCTAATTACTACGTAGAAGAATGTTATTTTCAAGGTTAATCATAATTCGTCAACAATGTTTTATAATAAAATTATTTTTAACCAGACATTTTTACAATAATGACATATTTTATAGGCTTATAAAATCTTTAASTAGGTGAGTAGTAAGTACCAATTAAATTACTAAGAATGGTATAGATGAATACTTTTATAATAGTTTATATACTGGTATACGATAAGTAATCTTTTAAGTTTATTTGGGTATTCAGTAAAAAAATCAACCAACCTCCTAGAAGGAAAAAAATACTCAAAATGTAGACTGCAGCTTTATACGTTTTATACTTATTGTTGTATATTATATAATAAGTATATAGTATAGCCCGCCAGTAAGGTATACTTAATTTACATAGCAAGCTACGAATCAGTAAATAATGTTATATAATTATTTTTAATTTCTAATATTTCTTGAATTATTTCTTTAATATTTTATTTAACTAGTATTTACGTGTATATGTATGACGATTATTGGCAAAAAACTTGAACACTTGTTTTATTCAACTATTAACCTAACAAATAACAACCTACGGTTTTTAAGAATATTTTTTATCTGACCCTCATCGTTAATTGACATTTTTGTGCGGTCATCGTGACCCTATAATAATTAAAGCTGAATGCCAAATTAAATTTGTCAAAATTGCTATTTATACAATATACATATGTAGGGTTATGAACATAGACCTATAAACTAAGTTTATAGGTCTATGGTTATGAATATATGATTCTTCATATAGATCAGTGCTTCTCAAAATTTTTTGTTATAGGACCCCCCTATATGTAATATTAAACTGTCAAGGCCCCCCTAACAATTTTATTATTATTCAATACCTAACATTAGACCATYGAAAATGATTAATGTATGATCGGTTATAATATAACTAAATAACCAAAAATATTTTAAATGAAATAAATATTATAAGGCTCCTGAGTCGCGGCCCCTCAAGTTGAGAAGCACTGATATAGATTATTGGTTTAAGGTTACCCAGGTTAGGTGATGTTTATTATAATTATTTACTTACCATATATATATATATGGCCACATTATATATAATTTTATTTTCATTATTATACACATACAATTTAGGGCAACCTTCTTATTGACGTTATGTTTTGTTTTCCTCACACTACGATATTGATCGATTTTTTTTAAATGATAAAACACTAACGTATAATACATTATTTTGGACTAAATAATAATGACGTAAATAGAAATACGACGGTATTGTTGGTAAAAATAAAAATTCCTATAGGTTTATTCTATACAACACATTTCATTTCACTTTATAGCCCCTGTCCCCTTATAGGTATTACATTATCGAGTGTGTAGGGTGTAGCTGTCATGGCATGAATACAACCCATGTTATTTAGTGATATATGAATATTAGGCACGTATTAAATTATTAATATTGAGATGGAAAATCGTTAAGTAAACATGTCTGTTATAGTGTTATTATTTATTTTGGTGTAAGTATTTTTCATAAATATTTTATTTTTGYTTAGTCATATGAATATATGATGCTTTAGTCGTTACTCGTTGTTACTATGGTAATTTACTGATAAATATAATTATMGTTAAAACTGCCTTAAATCGAAAGTGACTTCTAGCTAATCGCTATTATTATTGATAAATATTTGAGGCGTTATGATGCCGTCGATGAGTCGATCCTATTGTTCGGCGGTTATCTATAGTCTATTATACTTATATCTTCTATCTCGTACGACGACGTACGCATACAATTTAATATTATAATRCCATAATAGTATAATACTATGTTAATCTAGAGATGGGATTAATTATTGTGACTCATTTAGATGAATTATTTCACACAATTAAATTCATTTTAATATGAGTCAATTCATCAAGTAAATACCCAATTCCCAATTTTTCTTTATAATTTATAAATCAAATCGCTACTCATTCAACTACCCACCTTGTTTGAATTTAAGTCATATTAGTAATGTCATTTTTGTAAATCAGATCAACTATTAATATTACCATACAATTAATATCCGATAACAATGTATAGGTACACATAAAACATAATACACATAGGTATGAATCGGACAAAAATTCTAAGTGAAGATCTGGGAGGCACGAATGGGTTGTTCATTTAAATAGCTAAGGTTCATATATAAAAAGTTTTGATTACAAATGTAGGTATCGCGTAAGACACGTATTCTTCAATTTATTTATTTTTTTTTTTAGAGACGTACGGTTTATTTATTGAGGTACCTCTATGCTTTTTAATTGGTGAATAAATGATAATTTTACCAATTTTAATTACCAAGTTCTTCTGGGAGCTTGAACATGGGAAATCATGTTAGTTTGTCGGAAGAGGAGGGCTAATCATCCGGATTTTATAATATACCACAATCAAGTATACAATTCATACTCGTAATCAGTGGCGTACTTTTTGTGTGTGTGCGTGTGGGCCCCTCCCCGAGAAGTTTTTTGATGTCATAACGCAAATTCATTGTCCATCTTAAATAATGTAAATAATAAATATTTTTAATTTTCACTGATTATAATCGTGTTTGATATCAAAAGTTTTTAATATCACTTATCAATGCAGTATGTGATTCATGCTTTAGGTATTTAACAATAATTAATAATACAGTTTCAGATTATATTATAATTTATAACCATAAAAAATTGTGCAATCAATTTATGCCCCCCCCAAAAAAAAAAAAAAAATGTTTCACAGGTACGCCACTGTTTGTAATGAGTATAGAGATGAAAAGTTATATGAAGTAAAATTTACGAAATTTGCACACAAAAATCAAAAATATACATTAAAAACAATAGATAGGTATGAAAAAATAAGGAATTTTATTTTTATGAATGTTTTTTAAAAATATTTTGAATAACAATTTACACTCTGTAGTGAATACAAATTTATAAACTAACAATACTAACAAGTAAAACTAACAGCCTACAAGTAATCGATATTCATACATTTTGTTTAGTACCTTACATTTATACATATACTATTTTGGTTTCTTATTTACAATAAGTCAATAAATTCCGTTTTCTGGAAGTCTTATTAATAAATAAGTATAAGTAGTTACTAGTTAGTGAAACACACTACATAGTTTTTTATAGACAGTGGTGGCGTGATATTATTAATATTATTTTTACTTTTTTTTTACGCAGTGTGGCAATTTTATAAGTTAATAAAATAATATGTATAACCTTATTACAATATTGTATGATCATTGATCAGATAATAGAGTTTTAAGTTATAATAAAAATTACAAAATACATACCAGTTTTATTTGACTTACTAAAAAACTTAATTTGACTACTACTCAAACTAGTGGAGGGGGGGGGGAGGTTTTAAGGGCGCCAAAACACGGTTTCACCCCAGGGCGCTAATACATCTAACGCCGGCCTTGTCTAGACCCTATACAGTTATGACTGTTATGAGTAATAACTAATGGCGAATACAGAAATTCATAACAATTCATTTATTATTGCTACCCGCTTTCCAGTGGATACGTAAATTGTTAAATCCTTATAAATTATGTGGACAATCCCAAATCCAAAATAAAGATTATCAAATCTCATATAAACAAAATAAAAATAACAATCGTAGACCCAAATAATAATAATATTATGATGTGACATGTTATTTATTATAATTCATAAGTGTGTCCGGTAATATTGTAATAATATCGTATATTATATTCTTATGTTGACAATTTGTTATTATTTGATATTTGACAGTCACAAGAGTGTTCATATTCATTAAATATATTATAATATCATATAATTTTGCCGTCACTTTTGTTATTGTTATTTGTATAGTAATATCTATAATATTATAGTTCGTTCGGAATTAATGAAGTTCGGGTTACCACGACGTAGTTTTTGTTGTTGTTGTTATTTTGTTACTGGTTAGTGGTTATGCCATCGCCTGAACGGCTGAACGCCCTGAACCCATGAGTAATAACATGGGCCCGAGCTCCGTCATCGGTGTCCGAAAAAAAAAACAGTCCTTGACAGCCGTTGGTTAGCCTGTAAAATACTGGTTATAGTGCTCAGTGTTTGTCCTCGACTCCGTGTCTCCGTTGCCCCTCCGTCTTGCAATTGCTTCTCGCCCGCGGCCCGCCACTCATAGGCCATAAATTCGTCCATCGGGCATCACCACTGCTGTCGCCGTTCGCCAACGCCAAACCCAAGCGCCCTAGTCGGTAGTTGTAGACTGTAGTCTGCCACTCCGCCCCTGCCTTCCACAGTTCCACACCATCATACTCCTGAACTCCTCCGACCCACCGCCGGCCATTACACTCTACTGTTCTCTACCGTTTTTRTTCTTTACGTTTTAGTGTCGTACTGTTGTACTCTTGTTCACCGTTGTTCGTCTGCTGTACGTGTTTTCGCTGTGTTGTTCGTAAGTCTCAACTCTCACTCTTCACTCTTTACCGTTCGGTACTTTCCATTTTTATTAATATTAAATTATCATACCCACGTTTGTCCCACAGGTAGGTAAACGTTCCTTTCGCTACCGTTTATTTACCGCTACCTATTTACGAAAAACTATTTACAAAATAAATTGTTATTGTTTACWACCTCCGCTATTTTATAGTTATCCTAGAAAATGAATCCTCATATTTTTAAATCTAAATTTTTGAAATTTTTAAAATTATAAACAACATAATATTTTTATTAGTAACTTGCCCATTGTCGTTTTCGTTTTTTTTTTTGTAGACATCAAAAATTGATATACTCCAGACAAAACAATGGCTGTCAAAGGATTAACTTTGTTGGTGGTGGCTTTTGCGTTCTGTAACTCTGCAGTTAAGGGTGAGTGTTGTTCAGCTATCATTCTCAATTATATAGAAACGATAAATGTTCATAGGTATACCCATGTTAAAATGTCATTCATCTATATTGTGTATCATTCAAATTGTTTGTTTATTTATTTGTTTGACTCGAGTTCAGTGACGAAAGAGGCCAACGTCTATGCTTTATAATTTATGTTCTTGAATGAATACAATACATGTATTATAAGTAYTTACAATAACCTAATATAGACCTATTCCTCAATTCATTAGTGCTTGGGAAGCTTCTTTGTTAAATTGTCAATCCAGGATTGAAGAAGATATAAATTCATTTTTTGATGATTGCTTTTATCACAATAAATAGCTATAGTTTTTAAAATAAAATATTTAATAATTTGGAAAGTGTTCATAAGCCCGCTTAAATTGAATGAAATTCCAGTCTGAAGTTATTAAGGAATTTCGTTTCTAATATGTTCCCAAAACTTGTAAAAAAAAAGTCCTTTYTAAGTACTGTTAATTTTGACAGCTGATGAAGTTTCCAAACACATCCATATTAGTGGTATTTCTATTTTGTTGTTAAAGGATAGGCATTGTTGTTTTTAATTTKTCATTCCAATTMCCGAGGTTTTATTATTGACTGGTGGATGTTAAGTAATATTTGTATAGGGTGCACTTTGCACTTGGTTTACAATGGTTCTTATTGGTGTTTTATTCTCTATTAAATAAGTAATTATTAACTATGTTTAATCTATTGCATACACTCTACTCCAAATAAGTTTGGAAATCTGTTCAGCCTATGAACAGTATGACTGTTGTGAATGGCTAGTAGTCAACAGCGCACTGACGGCAGGCGACACAACTGCATATACTGTGGTGGGTTTCCGTCATGATTATTTTTCCAGATTTATTTAAAATTGAGTATATATGTAAAATATATCGTATATATATATATATTTAACTTCATTAGATACCTATTGTTTGTTATAGTTATTAATTATTACCTATATATAGACATTTCATTTTTTTTAAACAGTAAAAAGATTATAATAAAAGGATTGTGGTTCTTGAAACATAATTATTATAGTTCATCTAATACCCACTTAATTAAAAATAAATCAATGTAGTTTAGTCTGATTTCAAAAATTCAATCAGAAATTTTTATGAAAACTGCAAATGTTTATTTTCAATTAATAATATACAACAGGTATGAATTATTAATGTATTATTATCAGTTAATATTAACATTTTAAGCAATACTCATCAGTGAATTAACTTACTATTTGAATAATAAAAAAAGAATGTATTCTTGCTATAATAATAATAAATGTTATTTACTGTAGTTAAACATTAATTTAACAATATTTTTAAGAAATATTTAGTATTAAATTAAAACTAAATTAATATTATTTTATTCAACAAATTTTTCTAAYATACAAATTAAAATTTTTGTTGTTTTAAGACTAATATAGATGTTTCACTGTATATTGTATGTATTTACTAATCTTATTTATGTTTATTTTAGGGTCAAGTGATTGTACTTTGCCATGGTTAGTAGAAAAAAATCCATTCATCGCTAAGGTTGAATCTTTATCTATTAACAGATGTCCTACTCCTATTATTGGGGATCCAACTAAAGAATACTGCTGTTATAATACTGATGGAAAGGTTGAATGTTGCAATTTCCAAGAATATCTACTCTTTGGGTATGTGTGAATATATTAATATTAAATTTTTTAAATTTTAAATTATTTTAATATTTTTCAGATTGATTTTCCTCATTCCAATTCTTATTGTTCTACTGATTCTTTCATCAATTCTCAGTTGCATCTGTTGTTTATTGTGCCCATGTTGCGCTATTTACAAACGTAGGCAATCTGGCAGTAAGTACTAAGTAGTACTTTAAAAAATAGCTTATTAGATATTTATTATTAAAAAGACAGACTTATTAAGAGGACATGATATACCCGCATGTGTTGTCTTCGTCTTACAAGTGCATAACATAACAAATTTTACGCTCAGCAGAATACATTTAGGTCTATTAATTTAAAATTTAGAGTGAATTGACCTCTTATAAAATTTAAAGGTACGATTATTATCTATACAATGTCACAGGATTTTTATCATATTTTAATTTTAAAGCGAGTTATAAGTATTTTAAGATGCTTCTAAATTAAAATATGATAAAAAGCCTATGAGGTTGTCTAGTTCATACCTTAAAATTTTATTACACATCATTTCATTCTACATTTTAAGCTAACAGAGCTACATGTGTTCTGCTGAGCGTAAATTTGCTATGCTACGCACTTGTAAGACAGAGATAACACATGTGTTGTATCACATCCTCTTAAGTAATTACACTAATGTAGTAACAACAACCATGCATATTTGTCATCAAAGATTAAATTCATAATCAACAGATGTTTGTTAAATCACTTTTAGAAGTACTAGAAGTATTAATATTTTTAAGTATTATTTAACTTCTAATATTCTCTTTTAATATTGTAGTTCCCTTTGCACAGCTTGTTCTGGATAAAATTTTTTCTTCATGCATGTTTTATTAAAATAGATCAGTCATTATCTCTTAAACATTTGAATTTTRAAATTGATTATTTGTTACATTTATGGTAATTRAAAAATATAAGAATATTTTGATAAGTATAAATTAGTATTAATCAGATTATGAAAAAAGTTATATTCTTATTAAAACATTCATAAACATATTTATAACAATGTGTCTTCTCAAAAAAAAAAAAAAGGATTATGTTATAGTATTGCATGATTGTATGGTACTTATGTGTTATCTACCAAAATATTTGTATACTTAAAAAATCTGGTAAAAATAATATGTAGTTATAAAAAATTATTTCAAAACAATGTATAAACACTACACAGATTACAATGCGGGAATATACATTCTTATATTGATTCCTATGCGGAGGCAGTTAATGGAAATATTTTGGTAGTCAAGATAAAACATGTTATTAGTACTTTGCTCCTTATATAAAGTAAATAATATTAAGAGAACATCACACCAGCATGTAATGTCTCTGTCTTAAAAACATATTATAATATAGCAGAAACAGTTTTTACGAGATAATTTTACTACCTCTGTATTTATTGTAGAATTGCCAAAATTTAACAATGTATAGGGAAGGACTTTATCTGTGTCATCATTTTTATTATTTGGATAACATTAATACAATTTAAGTTATCAGTTTAAAAATTAAATTTTTTTTAAATTATTGGTGAATGCTATCAATAACATAAAAACACTACGACACAGACAAAGTTTTTCCCTGTTCGTTGTGGAATTTTGGCAATTCTGCAATAAATACAGAGTGAGTAAAGTTGTCCCGCATAAAACAGTTTTTGATGAGTTCTACGTTAGTAAGACAGAAACCACACATGCGGATTTGGCGATATTCATTATTGAATTTATACTAACAAATAATATTCAACAATTTTTCCCCTTCAATACTTATAGTAATTTATATAAAAAATATTAATGCAATTTATCAGTTATATTTTATATATTTATTTTTATGTTATTTTTCTATTACAAGTAGTCAATGCTTATGTTCTTTAATTATAGTAAACTAACTGCTACACTTTTTGTTTAATTTAATTATATTAATAATATTTGGAAACCACTTACATTTATTTTAAAGAACATTTTTTAAACTAACATTGAATATTATTTGCTGTTATGGTATTTTGAAAATGCATGTAATTGTGTCGGTTGTGGATTTTATAATTCCCGTTAATAAAAAAACTGACTACAATTTAATGCATTTTCACAGGTTGTGTTTAAAAAAAATATTACTGCAGGGGTACTTGTTCAACCGCTTTCAACCAATTGTGTCATTATAGATGGTATACCATCTGTAATATCCAGTCATGGATCCTATTATGCTTCAGGTATTATTTATATTTTATTGATAATTTTATTATTTGTAATCTTTCTCATATAAGTATATTTTCAAAGACATACTAATTTTGTCTGGTCCAGTCAGACACCATAAATCTATTTTGATCTCTGTCAAAAATTGCTTAACAATGTTAATTTTGGCAATGATTTCAAGAAATTAACCATTGAGATTAAGGAATTTGTTATAATTTATGCTATAAGAAAGTATTTCATTCAAAAAATTAATTGAGAAATTTAGGATGCAATAGAATATTTTAGATCTAAAAAAATCACGTAATGGAGTCACTTTAGTATTAATATAAAAAAACTTGATTAAGACTTTATTGCGATTCCAACTGCCTAATAATTTATGTAAAATGAAAAAGCAATAAATAAATAGTAATAAATAAAATTTCATGGTGAGGGCATAGTCTATTAAAAGTGTGCTAATTGCAAGCAAATAATAGAAAAAAAATACATGTGTAGATTAATAGATAAATTTGCTATTTATTCTCTGTACACATAATTTTGAAAAATTTTAACCACATTTAAAGAGTTCAAAAAAATATCTTTACATTATTTCGATCCTATTGTAAATATTTTTAATTTTATTCGTTAAGTTGATTATACAATTTTTTTTCAGCTTCAACAGGAGGTTCTACACCTTTAATACCTAATGAGTACCCTAAATTATACAAATAGTTAAAATATTTAAATAATATAATTAATTAATCAATATTAGGTATGACTTTATTGTATGTTAAGACTATGGTAAATTTAATAAAAATATGTTGAGTAATTTAGAAGTAAATGAATTTAAAATTGAATAATACATGTTGACATTAAATTATAATACACTTCTTAATTATACAAATTAAAAATTAATTTTTCATGATTTTGAATTSAATATTATATTAAGTATTACAATATATATTTATATATGTATATTTATTTAATATTATATCTTAATTTATATTTTTGACAATATTACTAAGATTACTTTATTGCTAAATTTAGTTTTTTAATCAACCATACTATTTTTACACGTGCAAATATAATATTATTTAAAATAAGTAAAATATTAAGCTTCTGTTGGTGATGTATTTTTTTTTTATATATATTTTTAAGCATTTATATTAAATATATGTAATGTTAAGCGCAAATCTATGTTTCTAATTACATTATTTTAATCTTTTAATACTGTATCAATTTAATAATTTAATGCAAAGAATTATTTCAATTTTAACTGTTTTATAAGGTTTCATATAAATCAGGTGCCAAATGCATTTAAGATAATAGTCTGGATGTCAATTAATTTATTTTGCTACATTAGTTTTACATGATTGTATTTTTTTTACTATACTTTTGGTTGAATATATTATATAACTTTTTAAGCTGTTTTATGGAGAATAATAAATATTATTAAGTTCAATAACATTTTTTAAATTATTTTGGTAGATTTATCATAAAAAATAGTAAAAAAAAATTGTTATGGATTCTGTAATTATTAAAAAATAAATTGGGTTATGGTGAAACCAATATAAAACTAATTGTATTAAAAATACTTAAAATATGACTTATCTTTCTATTTTTCAATAAAACAAATAAAAATCTGATAAATAGTTGTTTTTTTAATAATTTGAAACCAAAGAGTACATTAAAATAAATAATKTCCTATCTGTTGTACTAATCCTTCTCTATCTAGCATACAATTGTCTAAGTCTTTTGGTTTAACAGCCTATTTAAATTTCAGTTGCATTTAAAAAATATTATTTGTGTTTTTTGTAAAACATTGTTTAATAGAATAATAAAATATGATTACAGTTTCCTTACAGAAGAGTGTTGGACACCAGATTGATTCTAGGTAATCTTAATTTGGCTTCTTGATGTACGAGTACATACATGGTGTTATGTCATTTGTCCTTKACTGAAATTATTGAATTTTATGAATTTTTGGAAAATAAACTTTAAAAACAATGATGAATTATGCATTTAAAATATTTTTTTCTTTATTTATAATACAGGTGATTGATTTATCAAACAACACTCATTTTTTCAAAAAGTATTGACATTTTTCAATTTTTTTTTTTTTTTTCAAAATTGAAGATTAACACTCTTCTTGAATCGTATATATTATTTATATTTTTCACCCTTATATTTATTATGTAAACCACTATCAACTTTTGATTTTCAAATGGTAGCCTATACTTAAAATTTCATAAATTAATAAAGCTATTTTTTTTAATTAATTATTACGTTAAAATTTCGATTTTAGCGCTAGGAGTTTATGAGTTATAGGTATTTAAAGTTTAGATTGGCGGAGTGGAGTGGTATGGCCGTATGGGGTTACCCCTCAAAATGTTTGTCCACAACTCCACTTATTTAAACTTAAAATACTTATCTCATAAACTACTCGTCCTAAATTCGATTTTGATGAATCAAAATACTTAGAAAAATATTCTGCTTTGGAATATGAAATTAAAACACTATGTTGTCATTCAAAAAAGTAAAAAAAACTTAAAAAATGATAAGGATAAAAAATATTTAWAAATATAATTTTTTTATAAAAGCGTTGGTTTTTTAACAACTTGAAACTATGTGAAAAAATATYTTGAAAAAAGTCAATACTTTTTTTAATAATGAGTGTTTGATAAAAGAATCACCCTGTATACAGAATCTGCACAATAAGAGTATGAGCTAATTGCTAAAAGAAGTAGAGTATATTTTAAATGTTAACCTATTAAGTATAAAATATAAATACTTAAGTGTTCTCCATGCCTTAAAAAGTCAAGACCCTCCAATTTAGAGGTAATGTATCGCTCCACTCAGAATGTATTGATTTTACAATGATATTATGTTTGTCAGTCATCACGTTTTGGGACATTATAATAAATGCTTCGATTTTCTTCAACAGTACCTTATCTAATATCTGGTAACAGTATCGTGGTAAGGTGGTTGTTTTTTTTGAGCCACTGCTCCGTTATTGATTTTTGGTGGTGTCGGTGGGATAGACGGAAAAAAAGTCCCGATGTAAAACGTCGCATAAAACGCTAAAAAATAGCATTAGTTGTTATAAATAATTTTAATTAGAATTATAAAAGGGAAGGAAAGAATATTTACATAGGTTTGCGCCTAAAAGTTCGCACACCTTGAAAATAAACTGAAATGACGCCCCTGGCCTAGCTATGATAAAATTGTTGGATTACTATTATATTTATTATTATTATATCAATTATAACGATACGATTATTAGTATAAGTACATCTGTCCGACTGCCAATCATTAGGTACAAAACTAAAAGGTATCAATTAAAATCAAGTCTAAAGGTGGGACTTTTTACGTMTGGACATTTTTTTTCCTAGTGTGGGACTTTTTTTCCGCGATTCGTTGGTGGAGGCAGATTTGTAAAATGTATTGCTTCTAATTTATGAATACACTACATACGAGTTGAGCCGTGAGGTATCACCAAGTATATTTATAATAATATGGATACAATTAGAATATTACCATGGTGTAATAAAAACATAAACATAGTTTATAAATATAACAAATCGTTATCAGAATCAGACGCATTCTCATTTCCCAGAAACGACTGTGCTGGACGCTGGTAGGCGCCAGGCGGTAGCCTACACAATTATTAATTATTATATTATATTATTGTTATTGCAGCAAGACTAGCAACCAGAGACCTGGAGCCTGGAGGCTAGAACCTAGATTATTATTCTTTTTTAAATTGTATTTGATATTTATTTACGTTTAAGAGTACGTAACAGTAGAATTTGTTTTCTCCGTCTTACCAGTGCGTAATATAGCAAATTTACGCTCAGCAGAACACTTGTAGCTCCTTAAGTTTAAAAATTACTGTGTATCGACCTATTATGAAACTTGATGGTAAGAACATTATCTGTGTTTGTACGTTGGTTTTTTACGATAATTTAATTTTTAAGTGAGTTATGAGCTTTTTTAATGTATTGTATATCATAACAAACACAGATAATGTTCTTACCATCAAGTTTCATAATAGGTCGATTCACTGAAATTTTTAACCTAAARGAGCTACAAGTGTTCTGCTGAGCGTAAATTTGCTATATTACGCACTGGTAAGACGGAGACAACAAATACCACTGTTACGTACTCTTAAAGTTGTCAGTTAGTCTGTTGTCATTAATTGTCGACAACATTTAAATTTTAAAAATGAAATATTGTGTCCCAGTTGTGGTAGAACACGTGATTCACTGAACGACTGAATAGTACTAACTGGACTCGACATAAAGTATGGC